AAAAAAAAAAAAAATACCAATCTTTCGAATGAAAATGTTCAACCAGGGACAGTACAGATGGTACGGTACGTATTTTGCGAACGTTTCGAGCGACTATTTCGATTGAAAGCACCGTTCGCCCAATCTTTATTGGCCCCCATAAAATTTAACGACGTTGACCAATGCTCCCTTCCAAGTGATTGACTCAATTATCCGCGGACCTGGACGCTGTCACGAAATCCATTCGAATTCGTCGCGTGCAGACCGCTATCCGCAAACATGTGTACGTGACCAAAGGATTGTAAACCGTCCTGCGGGCAAACGGCCCGAGGACTCTATACCGGCGTTGACCTTCGTTAATCAGAATTCTATGCTTCCTGGTGATAAATAACGTCGCCTGCCAAGCGAGCACGGAAGACGCGACGCTTATTTGTATACAGGCCTGTAGCAGCCTCGTTATACGTTGGCAGCGCGGCCAACAGGGGTATATATGTAACGCTGGCTAAAGCGTACGGGACGAACCGGGAGAACCTGGAAGACGCCGCACGTCGCTTCTCAGACGCGTGAAGAGCTCGCTTCTTCCGGCCAAAAAAGTCCATTTCCTCGTATCTTTGATAATACGTGAAAAGAATTTTCGTTTTTCTAATAATATTTGTATTTCGGATAATCCTGCGATCAGATGATTTAGATATTTGTAGAAACTCGCTTTTCGTGGCCGGAAGTCGATTTTTCGAATTTCTACATATTCATCCTTTACATCGCAACATTGAGGGTAATAGGAAAGAAATTTGAAATTTAGAAATGTAGAAATTTCGGAAGAAATTAAACGGCAATAAAACGGTACTTATGCAGAATATAGTTAATGATCTCGCTTATGCTTTTCACTGTGTTTGCTAACAATCACGATGAATTACCTGTAATAACACCGTTTATCCTTCTTCTTCTTCTTCTTCTTTCTCTCGTTCACAGTCGCCTCACACGCAAAACTTCCTTCCAGTGAAATTTAATCGTTAACTCATCTCTGATGAGTGACTTTGCCATCCATAACCGCTTCGAATCGCAACACCGGATGTGAGTAACGCTCGGGAGGCGAGAGAGATCACGCGAGTTTATCCAGTAGACGATCCGATGTTTCCCAATAAATCTGCTTCTATAATTTCTCCGCGAGTCGTCGCAACAAACACGTTGGAAATCGCGGCGCGAAACGTGCGTGAGATCGGTTACACCCACGCGTCGTTGCGACAGCTTTCACATTTCTCATGGGGCTAAGCACCCGCTAGTCACTTTTGTTTCGTCAGTTTCGTCGTCTCAGCTTGATGACTCGTGCGAATCGACGAACGATTTTACGCAACATTCACAGGGAAGAACCGTGCAAGTGTTATCATTGCTCCGATTGCTGCCAGCTATTGTTCCACGTAGACAACCGTGTTGCGTCGTCTCCTCTGCTAATTATCGCACCTGTTTATTAGCATCATTCTGTTGGTTAATGACTGTTGTTGCCCTGTTTACTGTTAAAGCAGCGTGAAATGAAAATATAGGATCGAGTGGGATCGTTAACTTGCAAAAGTTGAAAGCTCGATGCATAATCTGTATTTGTATTAAAGAGTAATACGATAAATATAGTGTATAATTTCGCGTTCGTTCCCTCGGCAGGATTTTATTTCAATTTCGATTTGAAATTATTATTTTACGCTTTCTTTTGTCAAGAAATTAGAGTTGATTGAAAATTCAATGATCAAATTATAGATCAAATTTAAAACAGTTTTTAATTTCATTCTGTATTTTACGTTCTTTTTACTAGAGATTAATTAAAACGAAATTGAATAAATTAATTAAATATTATGTAAAATTTAAAACGAAAAAGAAATAATATAAATAAATCCTTATTTAATCATTTAATCATGTTGTTTTGTTCTAAATTAATTTTTAGCTGGTATCGTTGGACATTGGGAGCCACGAAAATTCAGGATTTCACATTATCTTTGAAATTTTTAATTAGGTCGAATTTCGTTATGAAGAAGAATCTAAAATATAAGACAAAAATCCAAAATTTTAGTGAATGAGATAAAATCTAATATAAATTAATAATGTTGTTTATAATTCGAAGACACTAACTGAGTTTGTACTTTTCTTGTAAGAGTACAGTTCTATTTGATTATAAAAAATTCTAAAGAATCATGTACTTTCGAACAAATATTTTAAGATGAAACATTGGAAGTTGGGAATATTTCTTTTAATTAGCATCACATAAAGAATTGAAAGGACAAATATACAGGAGAAATTAGATTGTGATTTTTATATAACTGCTTTATTTTACTGTCTAATAATAAGAGGTTTCAACCTTAGATGCATATATGCACCTACTCCAATGTACTTTCGCTTTAAACGTCCCTATTTAATTATAACTTTTTCGAGCTCCACTTTCGGACAATGTCAGACGAGTAAAGAGGCGATAAAAAAAAAAAAAAAAAATCGAGAAGCGTTTCAAACGTGTTACATAGTATTTATAGTTAATCGACGTGTCGTGTGAATAAATCTTTCTCGGAGCGTTACGAAGGAAAGACCAGGTACCTCTCAATTAAGCGTGATAGCAAAGCAGAGAATGTTACGTAACATAACTCTGCCCTGCCTTCTCGCTGCAAATACTTCGCTCATCCATCGAAAAACGCGACAATTACACCTGCCGGGGGGCAGAAACCGGTCGCACAATTTTCCGTGTCATTACCAACCTGCTGACTCCGCATCAATCCGGTACTCTATCCGCCGCAGCTCCCAGTCCCCGTTCCCTCCCATCCGTGTGATTCTGAATCGAAGCTAATGTTGGGAAAGTCGTGACCAGAAGTGGCAGCGTGCAGCGTGCAGAACCTTGCACTTGGTCCGCCATCTCGCCCGTTATCTCGATAGACGCGGCCTGTCTGTCGTTCATATAAACGCAACGACAGGCCTCCTCCTTCGCGTTTTTCGCAGCGCGGCGGAAATTTGCTGGTATTACCGATTTACCGCGGCGTGCAACGGAACACTGTTTCACGATAGAAACGTTGTATTGTAGTGAACAGCCTTGATAGAGTCTTTCATTTGCTTGTAGCACGTTTTATTAACGTATCTTTTTTTCTTTCGAAGACGAGTTCGAAAGGGTCGTCTAACTTTGTCGTGACTTTCGTAACGTTTGTTTTGTCGATCGCGGATATTTGGATTCTTTCAGAGTGATTTGTTACATGGCAGGTTAAAGTGGAAGTCGTTTACTAGTTATACCTCGTTAACCGAGAACGTGCTAACTCGTCACCCGCGTTCCGAACTTTTCAGTGTTGTAATTTTTCTATTTTGTAGATCTGTTCAAGATCTGGTATCATTTTCATTAAAAACAAATTTTAGCAGAAATTAGAATCAACTTGCCTTTACCAATTAGCCATTAATTCTGTAATTATGGAAGTCTTTGGTTAAGAAATAATTTGTTTAACACATAAATTATCAAATAGTAGTCACAATTTCGATGCTTTGAAATATTGACTTAAGAAAGTAACTTCTTTGGAAATATTAATATATTTTAAGTACATTTCAAGTACAATGGCAACGAATGAAAGTATTTGTGAGATTTTTTTTTTCTCAATAATTATCCATAAACACGTATTTACAGACAATTTGTATGTGTTGTCTGTGGAATTACTAAGATTGTCTAAGTAATTGACAATCTTAGTAATTCCACAATCACAATCTTAGACAATCTGTATCAGGTTGTCTAAGAAAGAAAAATACGGATAAATAAAAATATTTCCCAGATTATTGGTCAGTATATTGTTTTCCATTGGAATGGAAACAGTTCCAGAATACAATGAAAAACTTCTGATGCGTGTGCGTCTGACGTTTATTGGAAATTTCACCTCTAGTGAACATCTCTTCTACTGTGAATTTAAAAAAATCAAATGTAAATGGAAATTTATTTAATGTAGTAGTACTTGGTATTGTAATGAATATAACTTACATTCAATATTTTATATATTCTTTCGCGTATTACAGAAATTTGGAAATTTTTGTATATTAAAATATCTGCAGTTCAATCATGAGTCATTTGTCATTTAAATATCACACGATGTACGTATTTATGATACGATATGATGATATTATTACATAATGATAATATCATCGTTGATTATATCGTTATATGACGTATTGATATGAATCATATATATAATTAATTGACACTACAAATTATATAATATTTAATAAGCTCGTAATTATACAAGTATATATATGTAATTAAATTACAATAATTATCGATCATACTATCGATCATAACGTATATGTTTTAATACATGTAGGTACTATTATATAATTAAATCATTATATAACATCTTTTAAATTCCTACTTTCCCTCGACACTCACGAAGAAAATCTCAAGTATGTAGCTACCGTAAGAACGAGTCGAAAGATCGCATCAGCTCACCTTCAGTATCACGAAGACTCCTCGAATTCGCGAAAGAAATGGTTCATTGTTTCCCATCTGTCAGAGACAACCGTATACGAAAACACACCTGTGTCAACTGCATAATATAACGGTAACGGTACCGTGAAGGGGAACGCGCGAACAATGAGCCGATTCGCGGTAGCAGGCCGATCATAAATGCCCCTCCATTTTTGTTGGCGACCGGTCGATGCAGTCGACCGACCGATCGCGATAAATTTTATTCCCCGAGCGTCTCTGCCGTTGCTTCGTGGACGTGCACGATGGAACGATGTGCGAGAGACGATGATTCGCAGGATTCTATTAGTGCAAAGGAAACGTCTCGATCTATGAGATACGAGAGGAGTGTCCCTCAGTCAAATGATCGATAATGAGCGATGATGAAGAAAGTTTGGAATTTTTTCGCATTAACATGATAATGTTTCTTTTTTTTTTTGCTTTTTTTCATTCTGCAACTTTTAATTCGTGATTTATTTAAGTTAGAAATTTTCCACATTAACGTGATATATAATGATTATTTTACTCTCGAATTTTTAGTCTTTGTTTTATTTTGCAAGATGAGTTTGGAACTTTCCGCATTGATGTTTTATCCTCGCGCTTTTAATTTATAATTTATTGGAGTCAGGTTCGAATTCCACGAATTTTTCGTATTAGAAAAGAAGACATCGAGAGACAGTAATAATAATTTTTCTAATTCTCGAATTGTTAATTTACTAAACATTTATTCGGACTGGAATTTTCTGTATTGCTAAACCTTCTTTT